CTCAGTATGATTTTTTCTAGTTCCATCCATTTGTCTGCAAATTTCATGATGTTATTTTTCTTAATAGCTAAGTAATACTCCATTGTGTAAATGTACCCATTTTCTTTATCCATTCTTTGGTTGAGGAACATCTAGGTTGTTTACAGTTCCTGGCTATTACAAATAAAGCTGCTGTGAACATAGTTGAGCAAGTAAGTGTTCTTGTGGTAGGATGGAGAATCCTTTGGGTATGTGCTCAGGAGTGGTATAGCTGTACAAGTTTGCACTCTCAGGAGCAATGGAGGAGTATTCCCGTTGCTCCACATCTTAACCAGCATTAGCTGTTACTTGTGTTATTGATCTTAGCAATTCTGACAGGTGTAAGATGGAGTCTCAGACCAGCTTTGTTTTGCATTTCCCTGATGGCTAAGGATGTTGAACACTTCTTTAAGTGCTTCTGGGCCATTTGAGATTCCTCTGTTGAGAATTCTGTTTAGATCTCTACCCCATTTGAAACTGGATTGTTTGGTTTGTTGTCTAGTTTTTTGAGTTCTTCATATATTTTGGAAATCAACCTCTGACATATGTGGGGTTAGTGAAAATCTTTTCCCATTCTGTAGGTTGCTGTTTGCCTTATAGAAGTTTTTCGGTTTCATGAGGTTCCATTTATTAATTGTTGACTTAGTTCCTGCACTATTGGTATTCTGTTCAGGAAGTTGTCTCCTGTGTTAATGCATTCAAGACTATTTCCCACTTTCTCTTCTATCAGGTTCTGTGTATCTGGTTTTATGTTGAGGTCTTTGATCCACCTGGACTTGAGTTTTGTGCAAGGTGATAGATATGGATCTATTTGCCTTCTACTGCTTCTCCTACTGACATTCAGTTAGACCAGCACCATTTGTTGAAGATGCTTTCTTTTTTTCCATTGTATGATTCTAGCTTCTTCATAAAAAATCTGTTGTTGTTAGTTTTGTGCTCTTTTTTTGGAGGGTCTACCACCCAGCTCCCAAATAAACCACACATGGAGGGGGGCTTATTCTTAATTATGAATGCCTGGCCTTAGCTTTGCTTGTTTCTTGCCAGCTTTCCTTAACTTTAAATTATCCCATCTACCTTTTGCCTCTGGGCTTTTCCCATTCTCTTACTTCTGTAAATCTTACTCTTAATCCATGAGTTGCTGTGTAGCTGGGTGGCTGGCCCCTGATGTCCTCCTCCTTCTCTGGCTACTTCTTTTCTCCTCCCAGATTCCTCCTTTTATATATTTTCTCTTCCTATCCTTTCTCCTGCCTTGATATTGACCGTTCAGTTCTTTATTAGACTATAGGGTGTTTTAGACAGGCACAGTAACACAGCTTCACAGAGTTAAACAAATGCAATATAAACAAAAGTAACACACCTTAAAATAATATTCTGCAACAAAAATCAGATGTCTATAAGCTTGTAGATTTACATCTCAGTCTTCAATTCCATTCCATTGACCTGTCTGTTTTATGTCAATACCATGTGTTTTTACTATTAAAGCTCTGAAGTAGATACCTCTGGAATTTCTTTTATTGTACAAGATTGTTTTAGCTATCCTGGGTTTTGTTGTTGTTTGTTTGTTTGTTTTCATATGAAGTTGACTAGTGTTCTTTCAAGGTCTGCAAAGAATTGTGTTGGAACTTTGATGGGGATTGCTCTGAATCTGTAGATTGCTTTTGGTAAGATGGCCATTTTTACTATGTTATTCCTACCCATCCATGAGGATGGGAGATATTTCCATCTTCTAATATCTTCTTCAAAGACTTAAAGTTCTTATCATACAGGTCTTTCACTTGCTTGGCTAGAGTTAGTCCAAGATATTTTATATTATTTGTGGCTATTGCAAAGAGTGTAGCTTCCCTGATTTCTTTCTCAGCCTGTTTATCATTTGTATACAGGAGGGCTACTGATTTTTTTTTTAGTTAATCTTGTGTCCAGCCACTTCACTGAAGGTGTTTATCAGCTATGGATGTTCCCTGGTAGAATTTTTGGGGTCGCTTATATTCTTTTGTCTTTGGGTGAAAAGTTCTGTAGAGATCTGTTAGATACATTTGAGTCATAATGTCTGTTAACTCTGTTTAGTTTTTGTCTGGATGCCCTGTCCATTGGTGAGAGTCAGATATTGAAGTCTCCTGCTATTAATGTGTAGAGTTTGATGTATGATTTAAGCTTTAGTAATGTTTCCTTTACAAATGTGGGTGCCCTGGCATTTGGGGCTTAGATGTTCACAATTGAAATGGCATCTTAGTGGATTTTTCTGTTGCTAAGTATGAAGTATCCTATCTCTTTTGATTAATTTTGATTGGAAGCCTATTTTATTAGATATTAGAATAGTTACACCAGCTAGCTTCTTGGGTCCATTTGCTTGGAAAATCTTTTTCCAACCATTTACTCTGAGGTAATGTAATGACTATATTTGACATTGAGGTGTGTTTCTTGTATGCAGCAGAAGAATGGATTCTGTTTTGAATCCATTCTGTTAGCCAGTGTCTTTTTATTGGAAAATGGAGTCCATTGATATTGAGGGGTATTAATGTCTAATGATTGTTAATTCCTCTTATTTTGTTGTTGTTGTTAGTGTGTGTGTGTGTGTGCATGCGCGCGCGAGCGCGCACCTGCAAGCGTGTGTACATGCTGCCCTTCTTTTTGTTTTTGCTGGTGTGAAATTATTTATTTCCTGTGTTTTCTTAGGTGAAGTTAACATCCTTGTGTTGGAGGTTTCCTTCTAGTACCTTCTGTAGAGCTGAATTTGTGGACAGATACTAAATTTAGCTTTGTTATGGTATATTTTGTTTTCTCCATCTATGGCGATTGAAAGTTTCTGGGTATAGTAGTCTAGGCTGGCATCTGTGGTCTCCTTGAGTCTGCAAGACCTCTGTCCAGGCCCTTCTGGCTTTTAGTGTCTCTGTTGAGAAGTCAGGTGTAATTCTAGTAAGTCTGCCTTCATATGTTATTTGGCCTTTTCTCCTTGCATCTTTTAATACTCTTTCTTTGGTCTATATGTTTAGTGCTTTGATTATTATGTGGTAGGGAGCTTACTTTTCTGGTCTAATATTTTTGGTGTCACATAAGCTTCTTGTACCTTTGCAGGCATGTCCTTCTTAAGGTTAGGAATACTTTCTTCTATTATTTTTTAAAATTATTTTCTGGGCCTTTGAGCTTGGATTCTTCTTCTTCTACTCCTATTTTTCTTAGGTTTGGTCTTTTCATAGTGGCCCAGATTTCCTGGATGTTTTGTGTCAGGAATTTTTAATATTTAACATTTCAATTTTTTTGTTGTATCTTCTGTGCCTGATATTCTCTCTTCCATCTCTTGTTGGTGATGCCTGCATTTGTAGTTCCTGTTCGCTTACCTAGATTTTCCATCTCCAGAATTCCCTCAGTTTGTGTTTTCTTTATTGCTTCTATTTCCATTTTCAGTTCTTGAACAATTTTATTTATTTACTTCATTTGCTTGATTTTCTTGGCCTTCTTTAAGAGATTTATTCATTTCCTCACTAAGGGCCTCTATCATCTTCATTAAATTGGTTTTAAGGTCATTTTCTCATGCTTCAGCTGTGTTGGAATACCCATGGCTTGCTGTAGTAAGATAGTGGGGCTCTGGTGGTGCCATATTACCCTGGCCATTGTTGATTGTGTGCTTATGCTGCATCTAGGTATCTGGGTTTGGGGCAATTATAGGTTTGGATGCCAATTTCTGAGTTTATCTTTGTTGGATTAATTTTTTTTTTTACCTTGGTTTCTGTTTTCTTTCTGATCTTTTGGCCTGAGAGGCCTGTGGGTCTGGTGACTGGTGGATCCTCAGGTCCAGTAGGGTATCTCCATGAGGGTTTTAGTGACCTGTGTGCCCATGGGATTTTGGGTGCCAGTGTTGCCTCTGGGGTTCTGGATACCAAGGTAGCCTCTGGTAGAGCAGGGGACTTCTGCTGGAGTTGTGGGGTGGGATATTGCTTATCTTTTTTAAACCTCCACTAATTCTGTATTTTATTGTGAGCTTTTCAAAAAAATTTTATTACTATAATGGTTATTTTACTTCTAATGTTTGATAACATTGATAAAATAATGAACTTTATTTAAAAGAACAAGCAAGACAATTGATAAAGGCTATTTTGGGTCATAAAACACTTCTCCATAGTGGTAGTTTGAATGAGAATGGTCCCCGCAGGCTAATATATTTGAATGCTTAGTTCCCAGTTGGTAGACTGTTTTGGAAAGGATTAGGAGGTATAACTTTGTTGGAGGGGGTATGTCACCAGGAGTAGGGTTGGAGGTTTCAAAAGCTCAAGCCAGGATAAGTCTCTCTCTCTCTCTCTCTCTCTCTCTCTCTCTCTCTCTCTCTCTCTCTCTCTCTCTCTCTCTGCCTCCTGCTTGTGGATCAGTGTAAACACTCAGCTACAGCTACAGCACCATGCTGGCCTGCCTGCCTGCCTGCCTGCTGCCATGCCTCTTGCCATGATGGTCATGGACTCAGCCTCTATAACTGTAAGTAAGCCCCCAATTAAATGCTTTCTTTAATAAGTTGCCTTGGTTATGGTGTCTCTTCATGGCAATACAAAAGTAACTAGGGCACTGCCAAAGAATCTTTTTAAACTTGCTTTTTCTAAGTGGGTCATTCTGACAAACATATTTAGTGACTAATGTCTAATTTCTGTATTCTGAGCAGCTGTTTCCTTGTCTAATTTCCATTTATGCAACTATTGTCCATGCATTTTCTTCTCCTTTTGCCTTGTTTTCTTAGTGTCCTCCATTCCCTCTGGCTCTTACACTCTTTCTGTCTCCTCTTCTTCAGGGTTCCTTGAGTCCTGAGGAAAGGGGTTTGATTGAGACATCCCATTTAGGACTGAGTGTTCCAAGGTCTCTCACTCTGCATTTGTCTGGCTGTAGGTCTCTGTATATGTTTCCATCTGCTGTAGGAGGGAGCTTCGTGATGATGGCTGAGCAAGTTACTGATCTATGAGTATAGCAGAATGTCATTAGGAGTCATTGTATTGCTACGTTTGGGGCTGGAGAGATAGCTAGCTCATTGTTAAGAGAATTTGCTACTTTTTTTTGGGGGGGGGGGTGGTTTGAGACAGGGTTTCTCTGTGTAGCTTTGCGCCTTTCCTGGGACTCACTTGGTAGCCCAGGCTGGCCTCGAACTCACAGAGATCCACCTGCTTCTTCCTCCCGAGTGCTGGGATTAAAGGCGTGCATCACCACCACCGAACAAGAATTTGCTACTCTTGAAGAGGACTGGGGTTCAATTTCTAGCACCCACATGGTGACTCACAACCACGTGTAGCTCCACTTCCAGAGAACCTAATGATTCTTCAGGCTCTTCAGGAACCAGGTACACACACTCGATGCACGTACATGCATGCAGCCACTAAAGCATAAAATCAATGTCTTTAAGAAAGTAAAAATGAAACAATTAATACCACATTGTTTAAACTTACCTGTTACTCTTCTTCTAGGATTGTCATTTGATTATTTTCATTCTGCCTAGTCACAGTGCAAAATAGATGTAGCATTGCTGCAATGCCTGCACAATATGCATTTATGTACAGAGCATGCATGCTTAGTAAGTTCTGTGTTTATTGCTTTTGCTTATGTCAGGTTTTCCATTTTTATTCCTTCTTTTGTTTGTTTTTTTTTGTTTTGTTTTGTTTTGTTTTTCGAGACAGGGTTTCTCTGTGTAGCTTTGCGCCTTTTCCTGGAACTCACTTGGTAGCCCAGGCTGGCCTTGAACTCACAGAGATCCGCCTGGCTCTGCCTCCCGAGTGCTGGGATTAAAGGCGTGTGCCACCACCGCCCGGCTTATTCCTTCTTTTAATGTATTTGTTATTCATAATTTATAAACATGATTTAGGAACATATTTCTGTTGTATGACATTTTGTTTGTGTCTGACAAATAAAGTTTTCCTGGAGATCAGAGGGCAGAGCTAGCCACTAGTTATCCATAGAGGCCAGGCAATGGTGGCACACACCTTTAATCCCAGCACTTGGGAGGAGGAAGCAGGAAGATCAGGAGTTCAAGGCCACCCTGGGCTACACGAGATTGAACCAGTCTAAAAGAGGAACAGAGCTAGGTGGTGGTAGTACACACCACCCACTTGGGATCTCATGCCTTTGATTCCAGCACTTGGGTGGCACACACCTTTAATCCCAGCACTTGGGAGGTAGAGACAGGAATATAAGGCATTCAGGATCGCCCCCATTCAGTCTGAGGATTCATAGAGAGAAGTTGCCCTATTTGGTCTGAGATTTTTGAAGAGGTAAGAAGTCTAGTGGCTGCTTCTCTGATTCTCTGATCTCCAGGCAAGCTTTATTTGTCAAAAAACAAACAAAATATCATACACCATATTTCATAATCTTTTAAATTTCAAATTATTACATTATGATTACAGAATATTTCTTGTGTACATAAATTTCTTGGAATCATTAGACATCTTTTGTAAACTAGTTGAGAGCCATTTTTTCAATGTTCTATGAATTAAATGTAATATTGTACAAGTTACTAGCATTGTGTTTTTAATGCTTCTACATAGTCTTATTGAAATTTTGTATGTTGAAATATCAGCTTCTAGAATCTAAATTTTGCCTAAATTCTTTGTTTTGGCAATTCTGATTTTTTTTAAATCTCAACGCCTATATGATTTGATTTATACACAGGTCCATTATTATTGTTTCTTTGATAAAACTGTTCTATTCCTTTTCAGCTTTTTTATTGTTGCTAACAGTTTTTTCCTAATTTTTTTTGAAGAGGGAGGTTTTGTTTGTTTGTATTTTGAAATAAGACATGACTGTGTATCCCAGTGCTATTGCCTCTGCCTCTTAAGCACAGGGGAGTGCTTCTAGGTGTGTGCCATCACAGAGAAATGGAATGCTAGAGGTCAAGAGCAAAAGTTGTCTTGAGCTGTCTTTTCAAAGAGTGTTACATTTACTTGTGTGAATGCATGCCATAGTGCATGTACGTAGGTCAGAGGACAACCTGTGGGGATCCATTCTCTATTTCCAACATGTGGGATCCAGGGATCAAATTCAATGCCTTGGCCTGCTGGGCCATCTCACTGGCCCTTCAGTAGGCATATATTAACATCTCTGAGATTTGACTAAACTAACACATTTGTAGCTGTTGGGTAAAACTTTTAGAATATATTAACTTGGCAAACAACTAGCTTCTATCAACCCAAAGGCTAATAATGTCATATGATAATATCTGAAATATGTAGCAGAGCCTTCTCTGCTTCCTTGTAACCTTCTGCCTGAGGTCTCCACCAATGTATTTGACAAATTCATGGACTTATGGCTTTTATTTTGTTGTCCCATGATTATAAAAATTCTTCCATGATATAATGTGTTGTTCTTGACAACCTAAAGCCATGTTCCTGGGCTGTGGCTGTTCATATTTGGCTCAGAATAAACTATATTTTTTATCCATGCATTTAATCAAGAAGAATGAAGATTATTTCATGGTTTCCAGAGGAAAGATAGCAGGGAAGCCAACTTCATTAGTTTACAGACAGTAACTGGAAAATTTTTGGTCACTAGAAAGGAATCATTTATAAATGTGGACATCGTGATGCAGTAGGTGGAGGAGAGAATGAACTGAAATGTTCTAATAATACCAAAGGAACACATGTGGGTGTCTGTGGTACCGCTATGCCAAAGATGTGCTAATGACTTAAATGACTGCTAACATGGAGATGAGGACAATAATGTGAGTTAAGAACAATCTAGGACCTTGATCACACTGGGCTGGTGATACCTTGAACCCAGAGCCCTTGAGAGAGCCCCAGGCTGATGCCCCATCACTCTTAATCAAGGACTCAGTTCTCAGAGAAGGAGACAGTCTTGCCACTGTCCTCAACCCCATTCCAAACTCTTGGTTCAGATATTTTGCCTGGGGGAGAAGAGCCCTCTGTATCAGACAATGCTTAATCTTGTCCCAAAGGAGTTAACTTCCTAATTCTAGCTCTAAGGACATAAAAAGGAGAAGTGGTAGGGAGAAGAGAAATAGAGAAGAGATGCGTGAATTTGATGAAAATGTAAACTGGATTATAAGCTAGCTGGCTTGTAAAAGAAAACTAGGGGTAAAAAACGCCAAAGAGAAGTCTTCTTGAAGTCAAAGTTATCAAACACTGACCTCAAACACAGTTCCATGAAACAAGTTAAATTTGATTATATTCTTTTTTTTTTGTTTTTGTTTTTTTTTGTTTTGTTTTTTTTCGAGACAGGGTTTCTCTGTGTAGCTTTGCGCCTTTCCTGGAACTCGCTTTGGAGACCAGGCTGGCCTCGAACTCACAGAGATCCGCCTGCCTCTGCCTCCCAGGTGCTGGGATTAAAGGCGTGTGCCACCACCGCCCGGCTTGATTATATTCTTAAGGAACAGTATAGGCTTGTGAGCATTGTTCAAAACAAAAGGTTGGAACTCAAGTCATCAGACTCATGCAGCCAGTGTCTTTAGCTACTTACCTATCCCATTGGAGTTATGTTTTGTTTTTATAGTTATTTTAAGTACAATTACTTACTTGGTTTCTTTTTTGGATGAATTGTATGAATGTACAGAAATCCTTCTGACTTTTGCATGTTGATTTGTGTCCTTCAATTTAGAATATTTTATATTGTTTGGTGGTTCCTCCAGGATTTTTTATATGTTAAGATGTGTCATAAGTGATGGCTATTTTACTTCCTTCTTTCTCATTTGGACTCCCTTTACTTATTTCTTTGTATTATTGCCCTGGTGTAGCACAAATTCTAATTGGTCTTAATAAAACCCAGAGTTAGATATAGGGGTAAATGCTGAAAGATCAGAGAAGTAAAAGAACTAGCCAAAGTCACCTCTTATCTCCACGACTTCTCAGACTGAAAAAGGCCTGAGCTCCTGTCTCCTCCCACCTTGTATTACTGTTTCCACCTTCCTAGTGCTGGGATTAAAGATGTGAGCCTCCACCACCTGGCTGTGTTTCTTTTTTAGACTGGATCAATCTTGTGTAGCCCAGGGTTGACTGGAATCCTCCTGCTGCCTCCTCCAAAGTGCTGAGATTAAACGTGTGTGCCACCACTGCCTGGCCTCGATGGTTAACTAGTGGCTAGCTCTGCACTCTGATCACCAGGCAAGCTTTATTTGTTACAGCACAAACAAAATATTACCACATTTCCCCCTTTTTGTCTAAAATTTAAAAAAAGATTATAACTAATATAAGAAAAACTATATACAATAAGTACAATAACTACATACAATATATACAGGCAATAAATACATCAACAATGTCTAGTCCATAGACATTTGACAAATGTAGCTTTGACGTGGGGCTGGAATTTCCACATAAGACCTCACAAAGCTTAAAAAAGGTTTCTATACTCACAAAAAAATGGAGCCAAGAGCAGCTTCAAAATTCATGTCTCTCATTGTGGGGCTTGTACAGAACCGAGTCCCCTGGTCACAAAGGGCTTCAGCTGCAACATGGCAGACTCCCATGACCTCTCACAGGCCTTGGTACAAAGAGGCTTCTCCCAGCTGCTGCCTGTGGGCTTGAGAGCACAGCCACAGGCTTAAGAACACAGCTACATGCTGCTTAGTGCTGCTTCCCAGAGTTGTGGTGGTGAGCTCAACTCTTGAGGGTACCTCTGCTATGAGACTAGATGCTCTGAGAACCTATGGGGAGGAGGCAACCACAATGTGCCAGTGCCAGTGCCAGTGCCTTGCTTGACAGGTATAGACAGACTTTTCTTTTTGGGTTGCCAGCTCACAAAAATGACACTGATACTTATTATTAATTATGAAAGGTCAGCCTTAGCTTAGGCTTGTTTCTAACTAGCTCTTATAACTTAAATTAACCCATATTTCTTTAAAGTTGTTTCTTTTTCTCTATTTTATTTTACATACCATCCACAGTTTCCTCCTCTCTCCTCTCCTCCCGTTCCCTCCCCTCACCTCCTTTTTAACCCCCCCCCCATCCACTCTTCCTTTCTCTCCATTCAGATGGGGTAAGGCCTCCCATAGGAGTCAACAAAGCATGGCATATCAAGTTGCAGCAGGACCAAGCTCCTCTCCCCTGCATCAAGGCTGAACAAGGTATCCCACCATAAGGAATAGGTTCCAAAGAATCAACTCATGCAGGGACAGGTCCCAGACCCACTACTAGTGGCCGCCCACAAAAGACAAAGCTACACAACAGTCACCCAGATGTAGAGGGCCTAGATCTGTCCCATGCCGGCTCCCTAGATGTCAGTCCAGAGTCTATGAGCTCCCACAAGCTCAGGTCAGCTGTCTCTGTGGGTTTACCCGCCATGATCTTGACCCCCCTTGCTCATATAATCCCTTCATCCTCTCTTCAACTGGACTCC